GTCCTCTTTACTTCTCACTAGATAAACTGGATATAAAATGTTTTTAGCGAAAAATTATTTAAATTTCCTTAAGCGAGCCATTCGGTGCTATATTCTCGGCTTCATAGGAACAGGGAGTAATGCCACATACTCTTACAAATGATAAAGTATGGAAGACAAAAACACAAAATTTCTCCAGATTTCGTATCCCTTGCTCGGTAAACGATGCCGTAGGTGCCTTCACCAACACGATTCAACTTCTCGAATTCATTCACGGATCGACATGCTCCAAAACCAATTTTCTCCTGCAGAATTCATAATGATAATAAGTAAGAAACAACAAATTTGTGATGAGTTATATTAACTAAATATATCTGATTTTAACAAAGTAGGAACGAAATAAACATCGAGAAAAACGTACAAGACATGTAAAAAAAACGCAAAACATGCTTTTCCAAAAAACGTCCCTCTACATCCAGCGAATGCTAGCTATTGAAAAATTTCTTTGCGATCATCGCCAGGAAGAAACAGATTAGACCAAGATTTTGTACTGACGGCTCTGCTTTTCACAAAAAAAAAAAAACCAATTCCAAAGCTTTTCAGGATAGAAGAGGATTCAGTGTAATTCGTCAAATAATTTTTTAATCAAATTTAGTAAATCCACGGGGAATCCGCTGGGGAATTCTGAAAGTATTCCCTTACACCCTAGCAAATTCGCTTTCCTTCACTTCCATCACTGTTCTACTCTTTTGTCAAACAAATCTCTACGAAGTTCAGTTAAATTATTAAACCGTGTTCTGTCACTGACAATTCAACTGCACAGTTACGAATTTACAGCTCCAGAGATTATATTTATTAGCCGTTGCTTTACCAAAGCGCATCGCCCTGTAACAGCCTGAAGATGACCATCCCCTGGCTTTCCCGCTCCATCTTTCGGGAAAAGATGCAAAAATACTCAACTGTAACTCCGTGTTTTTGTCATTTTTTTACAATTTTTTTTTCTTTTTTTTCGAATGCGAAGTTTGCCTCAGTGCCTAATATAATATGTAAAGACAGAGGTAAAAAAACCAATCAGACCTTTGGGATACAGCTGCATTTGAGATCACGAACAGAGACAATTTCCACTCCGGATGAAGAAGATCCGGACTGCTGCGACTCATCGCCCATAGAGCTGCAATTTTGATGTTCTGTGTTGCATTTCGGAACAAAATCTAACCGAATTTGCCATGTCACAGATCAACCCGGATAATCGGTAAACAGAGAGGGATCTATCGCTGGGATGCACCCATATGTCAAGCAGTTTGTTCGATATGCTTGAATCAGCTGCTGTTTGTGTCCTTCCGTGTTTTGACACCGTCCAGTTCTTCCTTACGCCATGATGTAAATGTTTGCGTCAGAATATCACATAATATTTCAAATAATGATTTAAGGTCTTTTGTTAGAAGTAGCGTAAGGAACAACTGCGTTGCTATGATGCAATAGCCCGGCCCCGAGTTTGACATTTGGATATCCCCTACCCCGTTAGAGTTTCGCAATCTCAGTGATCTCTGACCACTGGGAGTATAAAAGCACTTCTCCCCATCTCCAGGACCCAAAGCCACTCCTTACGACTTAATCCTGTTCTGGGGAGCTTTTGTATTTTTGTCCTTATTCTACTTTACGTTGTATAACTTTGGTTATTGTATATAATTATATATATATATATATATATATATATATATAACTAAGAGTTTCGACACACATATACACACACGCAGGGAACGCTACTACACTAGCAAATTAACTTTAGGGTCGCGATAAGAATATGCGACTTTAAAATTCACGGAAGAAGGTACCCTACTTCATCTGGGAGTGGTAATGGGATGAAATGAAGTGATGACGCTCAACACACAAACACAAAGCAAGGACATCTCGAAACAGCTAAAGCCAAACAAGTATTTTGGTTGGAAGATACAACCAACGTCAGGTCTATCAGTGGGCTAACCACCAGGCTATGTACCACTGGTCAAAAGGACTGGGAAGTTGAAAGCTGCACTACAGAAGAACGAAACTGCAAATTACTACTAATTCATGTATCAAGATTACTTTCATCAGATTTAAAAAAAAAATTAAATTTAAAAAAAAAGCTACGGAAAACTTGTATCAAATTTAAGAATTTAAGATTATTTGTATCAAATTTTAAAAAAAACTAAGGAAAACTGCTGCGCCCGGAACAAATGCCCACTTCTCAAGATTTTATTTCGTTTCGGTGCTCACTCCAAAATCCCTCACCCTCCGTTCCTTCACTTAGCCAAATTCGGTTTTTATTTTGGACTTGATTCTAACAGCAGGCAGGAATGGCGCAGTGAGGTAGCACTGTTGTTACGCAATAGACCGAAGGTTCGATTCTGCCGATGGGGCAAACAATCCCTCTACGATTCGTTTCGATAGTAAATTGGTACTGGTATATGCCAGGGAGTCAAAACGCGCCATCAGCTTGCTTGTAAGGAAACCTGGGAAGAGTGAACCATCGACAGCCTTGTCAAAGGGTGGTCGCTGTTAGCATTTGCTACCACTTGAGCTACTTCTCGAGTAACCTCGCCTCTCATTGAGAGCAAGTACGCATGGGGTTTCGACTTTGACTGGATTCTGGCCTCGTCTTTTCAGTGCCCGAACATCAATGCCACAACCCACTACCTCCATAACACGAAGGACATTCAGAAACAGAGCGAGTAGCAAACCGTCCCACAGTAGCCAGCACTGCTAGCACGATAACGGCGGATGGACCTCTCCACAGAAAATCAGTTCAGTACCGAAATTAACCACAGGAAAGTCTTCCCACCAACCGCACTGAATCTCTGATGCCCAGAATAAGAACGGTGTTATTTATCACCATCCAAGAATTGGTGGAACTTGGCTCGGTTCGGCCACCTGAGAGAGGCGTTTTCGCTTCTCCGCCAGTGCTACTTTGGGGCGTCATTTGCCAGTGGTAATTCGCATAGGCGTTACGCTAATACCATCCAGCACCCGGCAGCATAGTTCGAGATGACGAGTGGTGCGGGGAGGGATGGAGTGGTTGTTCGAGCCGCGAAGATCAAGGCTTTAGGAGCAAATGACATGCTGGTTTGCCAAGGAATGCAGTTGTTACGCAAGGCCAGAGACCAGCCCAGCTGCTACCTCGAAGATAGGGATTGGGGACGTGTGGAGACTTGTACCTTCCGTACTTCGTCCGTAAATCCGGCGTGCAAAGCAACATCTGATCTCTTCTCTACTCCTACTATAAGTGCACTCTAGAAGCAAACAATACCCCGG